CCTGAGTGATGCTGTAACCCTGACGACGGGTCCCTGCAGACCTCACTCCATTTTTTTTCACTCTTCTGTGAAAATTGGGGACCACACACCTATTTTTGAGATTACTGTAGGGATAAATGACATGATCCTTAGAACAGAGCTTTGAAATCACCTGCACCCCCGCAACCCACCCCCCACCCCCAAGCTGGGAAACCCCACAAGGCCTTCTCCGAATGCTGTTTTAATGCCTGAAGTACAACACACAGGGAAGGACAGCTGTGATTTTTTTACCAATGGATTAAAACACTAGAGCCAGTGGTGACACAGATAAGGCTCCCGTGCTCCCCAAGTTGTGACCCCCAAGTAGTAGTGAGGGGGAGGCGAGGTCCCTAGCCTGTGTTCCTGATGAGGCGCTGCTGGCTGGTGGGGTGTCAGCAGACAGTGCACTTGTTTTTCCCTCTGAGTTCACCCCTTGAATCCTCCCTGTGGGTCTCAGGGCCAGAACCCCTACTAGACTGAGACCCCCCCAACCTCGTCAGGGCAGAGGGTCCCCCCATGGGCAGACCAGCAGCTGAGGACTGCAGGCATAAGTTCAGGCCTTGGAGGCTGGCCGGCGACTGGGGCGTGGTGAGGGTGCTCCCTCCCGGTCTCTGATGAGCCCCGGAGGCCCGGGAGCCAGGGCAGAGCGGGCGTGGCGTGGCCTGCCCTGCCTGGGCTGGTCATGACCCCGGGCCAGATGAGCACGGGCAGGCGGAGGCCAAGGTCGGCGGGAGGGACGGTCACTGCGGGCTTCAGAGACCAGCGGCCAGGGTCCCAGGGCTCCCTCTTACTGCCTGAGAAAAACGGTGCCTCGGTTTCCTACCCATAAAGTGGGGTGACAATAGTGCTTTCTCATGCCCGCCTGTGAGGATTACCTATTCTATCCAAAGCTCTTAGAAAAATATCTGGGCCCTCCCTGGGGGCGTGAGTTCGATCCCCACCCCGGAGGTGACCACATGGCCCGGCAGACCTCTCCTGACCCCCCCCGCTGCTCCCCTCAGCAGTGAACTTCGTGACTCGGCCTGTTCTGCTCCCCACTCTGTAGCTGGTGAATCCTCTCAGCCCCTGCACCTCTGGCCTGTACCCCAGTTCTGTATGCATAAATCAATATATATATATTAAAGAACAATATCTGGTTAAAAAATGCTTCTTAAGTGATGGCTGGAATCAGAACATCACTTTTTTTTTTAAGATTTATTTATTTATTTATGCACACAGAACTGGGTGCATAAGTAACCAGAGGTGCAGGGGCGGTGAGAGGATTCCCCAGAGACAGAGCGGGGAGCGGAACAGGCAGATGGATGATGTACACTGCAGAGGGGCGCAGCAGGAGACAGGAGAGGTCTGCCGCGCCATGTGGTCACCTCTGGGGCCGGAGCCGGGGATTGAACTCGCACTGAGTGGCTTGAGCGGGCTTGCAGTGCTGCACTTTAATCCGTTGCGCCACCAGGGAGGGCCGGGTCATCTCTGTTGTTCCAGGATTCTGACTGCACTACCAGGATGCTGTCTGAGCTGTGTCTGGTGCTGCTCTGAGACAAAGCAGGTGCGCCTTCTGCCTCGAGGTGCTCTCGTTTGGGGGAGACAGGACACGAGTTGTACTTCAGCGCAGCCGCGGTGGTGGGGAGCTTGGGAGCTCCCAGGGCCGGTCAGGGGAGCAGGGCTTCCTGGTGGAGGAGCCGCCCCCACTGGCCACTAAGGAAGCTCTGGAAGGGGCCCCTGGGGCGCCACAGGCTTGAGCGGGGCCCTGGGGGCTTGCTGCAGCTGCCTCAGTGTGCGCTCGATCCACGGCCTCGGAGCCGACCCACAGGCGCCGCAGACCCCTCCCGACGGCCAGGGCACCGGCCTGTGACACAGCACAGGACCAGCGCCTGGCCTTTGTCCTCTGGCAGTGGGCGTCGTGGAAGGTTTTGTTTGTTTTTTGACTTTTTATTTACAGGAAGTTGCAAAAATAGTACAAAGAGCTCCCTTCACCCAGCTTCCCCTGGTGGCACGTTTTGGGCAGCTGTCATTCAGGATCAAAGCCAGAGAAAGGGCCCTGGCGCACGGCTACCTGAGGGCTACCTGAGGGCTACCTGAGGGCTACCTGAGCGCTCTTGGCGCCACCTCCAGGCCACGTGCTCTGCGGTGCGAGCTGTGCCCTGGGGGGTTATCCCTGACCACCACACAGCGGCTCGGCCGTCAGAGGTGGTGGGCGAGAGGAAAGGGCCTGAGCCGTGGCTGTGATTGCGGAGGTGACGGGAGGGCTGCAGACAGGGGACGTGTTGGAGCTCGAGGTGGGAGGACTTGGGGGCCGAGAGCAGGATGAGCGTCGGGTTATGGCTCGAGACGGGGGCGATGGCGGAGGAGCAGGGGTGGCGGAGACACTGTCCAGCTAGTCTTGGGGTCTGTTGAGTTGGAAGAACACCTGGTCGGTACGTCTGGACACAGAGGCCCCGCATTGGGTCATAAAGGGCGAGTTGGGTGGCTGCAGGGGGTGGGGCATCCCTGGTCCAGGGCCCAGGCTTGGGAAAGACACAGAGGTCAGCGGCAGCCTGGGTGCTGGACATTCAGGTAGCCCTGCCCAGGAGGTAGATCAGAGTCTGCAGTCCTGGGGAGGGGCTGGAAGAACGGACCAGGGCGTCACGGACGTGACTCATGGGGCCGCCGATGCTTGTCTGGCCACAGTGTGTGCAGTGAGGACAGCAGCACTGTCCCTTGCAGGGACGCTTGGATTGGCCTTGACACCTGGATGGGGAAGAAGAGCCCAGCAGAGACATCGGTGGGGCGGTCAGAAGGATACGAGGGGCTGGGCAGGTGCAGCCGGGAGCCCCAGAAGAGGCGAGAGAAAAAGTGTCCCTCGACTGGACTCAGTAACGGAGGTCCCTGGGGCGCGGGGGCCCCTGGCAGGCAGCTTTGGCGGTATGGGAATGGGGTAGCCACACGCTGGGGTGTGGCGTGGAGAAGAGGCCGTGGAAGCGGAATGGACAGGTGTTTCGCAAGATGCAGTCGAGGCGAGCTTGTGTCAGCCAGAGGGGGATTCGGGGTCGGAGAGGGAATTGCCCAGGGCCTGGGGAGACCGAGCGTGAGGGCAGGCCCAGAGCGCCCGGGACTGGCTACTTCAGGGGCGAGAGCCAGGCGGGCGGGTTCCGGGGCTGGGCACTGGGGCTACTCGCCCTGCCCGGGATTGCCTGCGGGGCCTCGGCCGCGTCCCTGGGCCCGCCTGTGCCTGTCTCCACCTCTGCAGAGGGGCAGTGATAGCAGGCTGAGGCTGTGCGCCCTCAGCAAGGGCGAGTGTCGGCGCCTGCCCCCGCGGCACTTGGACCCACACTCGCGGCGGGCCGCACGAGTTACCTCCACCTCCTGTGCCAGCTCGCTGAGCACCTGCTGCGTGCCAAGCACAGGTGTTGAGGTTTGCAACAGGCTGGCGCCACGCTGCCCAGGCTGATGAAGAGCTGAGCCTCCAAATGCCCTCATCTTGAAACCATGCCCCAATTTGGAGAAAGTGCTGTTTCCTTCCTTCCTCTCAGCCCAATGGCTTTGTCTTTTTCTTGTTAAGAAAAAAATTTTTTAAGGTTTAATTATTTATGATTACAAGAACTGGGGTACAGGCCAGAGGGTCAGGGGGTGAGGATTCACCAGAGACAGAGTGGGGAGCAGAGCAGGCTGACTGGCGAAGTCCGCTGCTGTCTCTCCGGGAGCAGCGGGGAGACAGGAGCGGGCTGCTGCGTCCTGTGGGTCCTTCCCTGGCCGGGGATCGAACTCGCGCTGCTGTGCTGGCGACGGCTTCACAGTGTTGTGCTTTGGCCCCTTGCGCCACCAGGGAGGCCCTTGGTAAAATTTTTGAAGCATCTGGCCCTCCCTGGTGGCGCAGCGGGTTACAGCTCAGCACTGAGAAGCTAAAGCCGCTTCCGCATGAGTTCGATCCCCGCCTGCCCCGGAGGTGACCACATGGCGTGGCAGACCTCTCCTGACCCGCCCGCTGCTCCCCTCAGCAGTGTGCTTCATCAGTTGGCCTGTTCTGGTCCCCAGTCTCTCTGGTGAATCCTCTCACCCACCACATCTCTGGCCTGTACCCCAGTTCTGTATGAATAAATAAATAAATCTTTAAAAAAAATTTCTTTGAAGCATACAAGCCCAAGAAACAAAGCAACAGCAAAATATCTGCCACCCCCTTCTCCCCATCACCCTTTCTCCCACTGCACCCCGTAACCTCTTTATGTGCCCACATGTGAAATCCCCCACATCGGCCTGTGTCTTTCTCGCCAACTTGGCCTTGATGGCTCCCTCCGGACCCTCCCTTGGCTGGAAGTGTCAGGCGCCTCTCTCCTAATGACTGAGCCGCCTCCCCGCGTGGACCCACCGTCCTCCTCCGTGGCCAGCGCCATGGCTGCCCCAGATCTCAGCTGCTGTAAAAAACGCCGCGGTCACCCGGGAGGCCACAGGCTTTGCGTCGACAGTTTCACGTTCTCGGCCACGAGCCCCGAAGCGGGTGGCTGGGTCGTGTGCTGTTTCCGTTTTCGCTTATTTCTTGAAGGTTTTATTTTTTTATTTACTTATGCATGCAAGAACTGAGCCTCACCTGTGAGGGGCCCGGCCCCCGGCCCCAGGAGCAGAGGGCCGCTGGTGCGGCTGCGGGTCGGGGCCCGCGTGGCGGCCGGGCACGGGCAGCTGCCCACTGGGCGCCCGCTGTGCTGGTGCTTTTGATGCCAAACTGAGTTTAATGATGAAACGAGATTTTCCTCCTGCAGTTGAGTGTCCAGGCGGCATCAAATCCAAGGCGTGCGGGAAGGGCAGGCGGTCTCCAAGGAGCCCCCGACTCATGCCTGGCACCCCACAAACCCAGGGTCCACTGGCCTGTGGGCTGGACAGAGACGGGTGCCCTCCTTGGTGGCACCTTCCCGCCCGTGCCACGGAGAGACGGGAGAGAGAACGGGGCGAGGACAGGACGAGCGAGGGCGGGAGCTGGCCCTGCCCCGGGGCCCTGACGGCTGTGTTCTCTCCGCAGAGACTGATGGAGAGGCAGAGACGGAAGGCGGACATTGAGAAGGGGCTGCAGTTCATCCAGTGAGTGCTGCAGCGCGGTGCCCTCCCCAAGCCCACCTCTCTCCAGCTCTGCCTTTCCCTGCTCCCGGCCCGCTTCGCTGTTCAGGCTCCGCGTGCGGGGAGGGCCCGGCGTGCGGGGGCGAGGGCCGCATCTAAACATGAGCCGTGAGGCCTCCCCGACCTCGGCGCCCTTCATCTTGCCCAGCATATTGTCTGGCCCCTCAGCAGCCTGCCCTCTGCCTGCCCGCACGCTCTCAGGGTGCCTGGCCCCACAGGGCGCCTCGCCCCACACGGCGCCTCGCCCCACTCTTCCCCCTCCCCGCGGCTCCCCTGTGTGCTGCCCCTACCTGCATTTTGCCTTTGGGGGAGCTGAGGCTCGGAGGGGCTGAGGCGCTTGTGTGGTCGCAGCTACGGGCGTGGGCACTCAGCCAGCTCCCACGGCTCCTGCACCCACGCTTCTCTCCTCACAGACCCCTGCCCACATGCCCGTCTGTCTATCTTCTCTCTCAAATGACCCTCTGGGCATCCTGCTCACGGCCTCCGAAGCCCAAGCTGGGCTCCTCCCCTGCCCGGTCCTTCTCCAAAGCCTGGGGGAGCCGAACAGGTTTTGTTCGGATTTTGTCTTTCCTACGCGGGCTCCCCACGAAGACGGGCTCTCCGCTAGTCTCCTCACCGCGCCCCGCCCCGTCCCCCAGACTCAGGAGGCTGGCCCGGTCCGCGTCCTCGTCACCACGCGGTCTGTCTCGCACACACCCCGGCCCGCGGTCTCCGTCGCCCGCAGGGAGCTGCATTGGTTCCCACGGGGGCCCCCTCGGCCTGCGGCGCTGGCTGTCCTGGGCCTGCCCGGCACGGGGCTGTGCCACCCACCTTGGCTTCTCGGGGGCCGTCTGCTTCTCTTTCTGGGGGGCTGGCTTGGGGGGAGTGCTCACACTGGCGGAGGTGAAGCTACAGTTACTTTCTCAAGCGCTCGGTCTGCAGCCTAAGTCGCTGGTTTCTGTGACACCCACAGACTGGGATCTGGGCTCTGGCTCCCCCTCTTGCGCTCTCCCCACAGGGTAAATACAGCTCTGTGCGTCCTCCTTGCCCTTTCCAAAGTGGAGTTTGGGGAAGGCTTCGCGCCCGCACGGCCTCCGGGCACTGAGGTGGCCTCCTGAGCGGCCCAGTGGCCCAGCGCCTCCGCCGTGGCGTCCCTCACCCCGCGCTCAGCACCGCCCAGGGGCCCGGGCGTGACGTGCAGGGGCAGGCTGGCGCTGGCTCTCAGGGGGCCTGAAACGGAGGCGGGGCAGCGTGGCCTGCTGAAGCTGGTTCGGGGAGAAGCCCGCTGTCCCCTCAGCCCTCCCGCGAGCTGCTGTCCAGGACAGCCCACTCCGACCCCCCCGTCTGTGGTCTGGCACCGGGGCTCACTTGGCCTGTGTCCCCCTTCTTTTCCCACTAGGTCGACACTACCCCTAAAGCAAGAAGAATATGAGGTGAGTGTCAGTGCCGGGCTGGGGCGAGCGGAGGGCGGGGGCTGGGTGGAAAAGGCCCCTGAGCCCCGCTGCCCCGCAGGCCTTTCTGCTCAAGCTGGTCCAGAACCTGTTTGCTGAGGGCAATGACCTGTTCCGGGAGAAGGACTACAAGCAGGCGCTGGTGCAGTACATGGAGGGGCTGAACGTGGCCGACTACGCCGCCTCCGACCAGGTGGCCCTGCCCCGGGAGCTGCTGTGCAAGCTGCACGTCAACAGGGCGGCCTGCTACTTCACCATGGTGAGCCGGCGCGGTTGTGCCCGCGCCAGCCCCGGGGGGGCGACCCCCGCGCGGCGCCCTCAGGCCCGCCTGCCCCCGCCTGAATGTCACCTGCCGCGCCCAGCGCTGCCCCCAGTGGACTTCTCCCTGGGCTCCGGCCCCCTCCCTGGGGCGCCCTGGCGCTGGGTGCCGTGGGCGCTCGGCAGCCCCTGTGCACTCAGAGCGCCCTGTTCTGGGTCACGAGTCTTGTCCACACTCCCACTCCCTCGAAGGAGGAGGCTCGCTGTCATCCGCGTGCTGTCCTGACGGCAGACGTGGAGCGGCCGTGGGCCATGTCTGGGGGACGGGCTCTTGGCCAGCAGCCGCTGCGGCTGGACACACGCCCTGACCCCAGCTCCCGGGGCCCTGCCCGACCCCGGCCTCCAGGAGCTTCCACCTCGCGGGGCAGGGAGGCCCCGCTTGGTCTCGGCGGGCAGGAGGCCTGGGGAGGGGACAGCTGACCGGCTGCCGCCCCTCGCTTCTCGGCAGGGCCTGTACGAGAAGGCGCTCGAGGACAGCGAGAAGGCGCTGGGCCTGGATGGGGAGAACATCCGGGCCCTGTTCCGCAAGGCACGTGCCCTCACGGAGCTGGGGCGCCACAAGGAGGCCTACGAGTGCAGCAGCCGGTGCTCCCTCGCCCTGCCCCACGTGAGTGCTCCTCGCCCTGCTCCACGCGGGTGCTCCCTCGCCCTGCCCCACGTGAGAGCTCCTCGCCCTGCCCCACGTGAGTGCTCCCTCGCCCTGCCCCACGCGAGTGCTCCCTCGCCCTGCCCCACGTGAGAGCTCCTCGCCCTGCCCCACACGAGTGCTCCCTCGCCCTGCCCCACGTGAGAGCTCCTCGCCCTGCCCCATGTGGGTGCAGGCACACCGTCTGTGTGGGCAGGTCCTGGCCGAGCCCTGCTCCACGCTGGCCATCGGGGCAGGAATGGCTCAGGCCCTGGGCTGGCTCTAGAGGACCGGGGCTGGGGGGGGTGGCTGGACGCTTCTAGTCGGGGCCCCATGGACGGGCCTCCCTGAGACCTGGCCAGGGCCTGCACGGCCCGGCCCTAGCCCGCGTGAGCACACAGTACACACACAGCCACCGGGCTGGTAGAGAGGACGGCGGGCTGGTGCGGGGGGAGCCCTGGCCTGGCCCGGTGCACCTGGACGCCCACCACCTGGGCCCAGCCACGTGTCCTCACTTGCGAAAAGGCCCAAGATGTCGTGAAGGCAGCAAACTATAGAACAGCGTGTGTCAGGTGGTCTCACCTGTGAGCCAAGAGAACATCCCCACAAAGCCAAGCCAGGTGTCCTTTCGTGGGTCCACGTGTGAGTGTGTCAATTCCTTGGAAACACGTAGGGGTGCATCAGGCCTCCGAGGCAGCTCCCTCGGGGGACACCCCAGGGCCGCTTCCTCTGCCATGGACTCTCCCGTGACACTGAAACCTGTCGAATCTTAGAAATAAAAAGATGAGTCAGATCAAGCCAAAACCGAGTCCTTCCTCCCCCTGAAAATGAAGGAAGATCACGGCCTGTTTCCTCGGCCCACCCCACGCGCTGGCGGTGACCCGGGCAGCCAGGGTCCCCTCGCAGGGCCTGGGCCCGCAGTCTGTAGCATGGGGTAGCGGCCGCGTCTGCGCCCCCGCCCCGGCTTCCCGGAGCCCCGAAGCACAGCTCTGAGCCCAGGCCCACTAGTGCCCTGCCCGTGTCTGCTTCCCAGGACGAGAGCGTGACTCAGCTCGGCCAGGAGCTGGCTCAGAAGCTTGGGCTGCGCGTCCGGAAGGCGTATAAGAGACCCCAGGTGAGCAGGGCTGGGGCTCACACCCTGAAGGGGCCCGGCACCCTTGGGAGAGCCCGTGACGCTGGCAGGGTCAGGTGAGGACAGGGAGTGGCGACGGGGCACTTCCGGGACAACTTCACACCTTTCGGAAAGGACAGTGAAAGCGTGTGGCTCGCTCAGACGTGGGGGACACCCCCCCGCCCCTCAGCTGGCGCAAGTACCCCAGGCTGACATGGGCGTCTTTCAGCCTCCTGTTCTCACATAGCCCGGGCCTGGCTCACACTGGAAACGCTGGCATCTGTCTGGCCCGTTCGGTCCACACACACGTGCACCCGTGTCCCGGGACGCTGCACGCAGGGCGGGTTGACTGGAATCCCTGCTGTGGCCAGGGCGAGTTAGCCGGCCGTCCGCTCTGGAGAGTGGGTTTAAGGATCCCACCCCAGAAGGCTCCGTGAGAGAATGTCCGAGGTGGCACAGCCACACCACGGGAGCCTGCCCTGGATGTCCTCTGCCCGCGTGGTCACCTGAACAGACGGGACCCAGAGCGAGGACAGCTGAGTCCTGCGGGAATGGGCGCGGGAGCTGTGGAGAGCGGCCCGGGAGCAGAGGCCCCTGCTGCCGGCCGAGCCCGCGTGAACGTCTAAGCTCCATCTCTTCCCTCCTCCCCGAACTCTGGCAGGAATTGGAAACCTTTTCTCTGCTCAGCAATGGCACCGTGGCTGGCGTGGCGGACCAGGTAGGATGGGGCGGGGCCCCGAGTCCTCTGACCCTGACCAGCCTGCCCTGGTTTATCCACCACGCGAGCTTTGTCCATGCCCTGTGTCCTCCACTGAAGGGTGGGGCTCCTGCCCGCGTCCCCACTGCTGTGAGCCTGGGAGAGGGGCGGCTGGGGCCGGCGCCAGGGTGGAGTCGTGGGTCAGCTTGGGGTGCACAGCACCCCCTGGCCTCTCGTGACCGCAGGCAGGATGTGGCCAGCTGCTGCTGCCGCCGGGCTGGTCCACGCAGGGGAACCGGCCGGGCCGCCCCAGGGACAGCGACAGCAGGAAGGCCGGCTCGGGCAGCAGAGAGAAGGGCCGTCGGTGCCAGGCGCCCGGCCCTGCCACGCGGGGCGGCAGTGCCCAGCACTGGGCTCCTGCTTGGGTGGACTGTGAGGCGATCTGGAAGCTGAAGGACAGGCTGGAGAGTGCGGAGCAGCGTGGGCCCCTTGAGGGAGACGAGGAGCGTGAGGGAGGGACTTGGCTAAAGCTAGGCGGCTCAGGCCTCCGGCCTCCCCTCACGAGCTCCAGGCCCATCTCTGCCCCGGACTGGCACTGGGCCGGAGCTGGGTGAGGCCTGTCCTGGGCCTTGGGGACTTCCCTGCTGCAGGGGAGGGGTGCGGTCCGTCTGGGTACACTCACCCAGACCCCGAGATCATGCGACAGGCTGAACCCGGCCACCTTCCCGGGAGGAGCCGAGGTCCAAAGTCATCCCCCTGAGGGGCGCAGTGAGGCTGGGCTGACCCCTGCCGCCTGCCCACGCCTGTCCAGCCCTCTGGGGGGACGATTAGCCTCATGGATAACACCCCCAGACCCCTGCTCCTCTGTGCTGGTCGCTGGCAGCCGCCACCGGGTGCCGCCCGGGGTGCAAAGTGTGGGCACCGTTGGCTTCCTGGCCCACATCAGCCCGGCGTGTCTTCTCCTCTCCGCAGGGAACTTCCAATGGGTTGGGGTCCATAGATGACATCGAAACAGGTAGCGTTACTGGTCTAAGGGGGTGGGGAGGAGGCGGCGAGGCTTGACCCTTACCCTGAGACGCCGGAAGTGCAGCGAGTCTGGGCCCCCAGTCCCGGCAGTGACCCCTGAGAAGCCCCTGGAGCCGGAAAGGGCTGATGGGCCCGGACACCGTGCGGCCGCAGGGAGGGCAGAGCGTGTCCCCAGCCTGGCCCTGGGCCCTCCCGCCCTCGTTCTCTTCCAGCCGGGAGCCCACCTCCTTCACAGCCGTCCTCGCCCCTTCTCCTCACGGCTCCCCAAGTCTTATACTTACAAGTGTCCCTTGGAGAGGCCACCGCGTACCTCCAAGGTGCAAACGTCGGGCTGAGCAGCCCACGTGCAAGGGCAGCTCGTGAGCCCCAAGGACCTGTCCTGCTCCTCGGTGACCTTCCTGGCCACAGTGGGGTCAGGCCAGCAAGGCTCCAGGCAGGAGCCAGGGGAAGGGAGGTTTGGGGTGAGGCCCCCAAGGCCTGGGGTACCTGCCTCACCCCACCAAGCAGGACCCCCCACAGCTGCTGAGCCCACCCCATCCACAGACTGCTACGTGGACCTGCGGGCATCCACGGTCCCCCTCTCCACCACGATGCCCCTGTTCCCTCACGTTCTGGACCTGCTGGCCCCCCTGGACAGCAGCAGCAGGGCCCTCCCCGGCACCGAGAGCCTGGACGACTTCTCTGACGGGGACGTCTTCGGTCCGGAGCTGGACACCCTCCTGGACTCACTGGTGAGCCGTGCGGCCCGGAAGCGCTCTCCCCCGGGGGCCCCACCTCATTCCAGCCCCACAAAGAGCAGAGGAAGCCCAGCCGGGTCACACTGAGGCCTGGGCGGGGCGGGGAAGCTGCAGCGGGCACCCAGAGACCACGGGGCCAGGGCTGCGGCGGGCAAGGCGCGGCCTGCCGGGGCCTGCAAAGTGCCCGATTCTCCCTGGACCTCGCGGTCGGCCTCTGACCCTCCTCCCCCTGTGCCCGCCTTGCAGTCTCTGGTCCAGGGCGGCCTCCCTGGCAGTGGTGTGCCCAGCGAGCTGCCCCAGCTGATCCCCGTGTTCCCCGGCGGGGCCCCGCTGCTGCCACCAGTAGTGGGTGGCTCCATCCCCGTCTCCAGCCCGCTGCCCCCCGCCTCCTTCGGCCTCGTCATGGACCCCTCCAAGAAGCTAACTGCCTCTGTTCTGGATGCCCTTGACCCCCCGGGCTCGGCCCTGGACGCCCTGGACCTGCTGCCCTACTCGGAGACTCGGCTGGACGCCCTCGACAGCTTCGGCTCGACCCGAGGCTCTCTGGACAAGCCCGACTCCTTCATGGGTGAGAAGTCACGGGGAGCACGTTCAGCCGCTGCCCCCTGGGTGGTCTGCAAAGAGCTTTCCCTTCCCCAGGCTCCGGCGCCGGACCTGGGTAGCTACTCCGGTGCCAAGGCCGGCCGGGCGCTGGCCGCCAGAGCCACCTCTGCGCGGGCAGCTCCTGTGGGCTCGGCAGCCTGGGCCTGCAGCCTGGGGGTGTCTAGGGGAAGGCCAAGCAGCAAGGCCGAGATAACTCGGGACCCCAGAGTCCCGGCTGGTGCTCTCAGGGCCCTGGGGCCCTGGCCTCCCCCGGCAGCTCTCCGGCCTGGCTGCGGGGACTCAGCCACCTCCTGGGACCTACTTTCAGTCAGCCAGGCCTCACCTAGCACTTGTGGCGGGGAGGGATTCACTCATGGGGCTGGAGGCACCAAGCGGACCTCCGGGCAGGGGCAGCCGGGGGCGTCTGAGGGCAGGGCGGCACGACGCAGGTGGGAGAGGGGCAGGTGGCTGGCGGGAGCTGGTCTCGGGCCCTGTGAGCTGTGCTGAGCCTGGGCCTCCTGGGACAGGGGCTGCCTTGGCCAGGCCAGAGCATGGGGGGACAAGCTGACCCTGGGTGGTGGCCATGGAGGAGAGGGGGCGTCTAAACCAGAGGATGAGTGGCCGGATGGCTTCTCTGACCCCGTGACCCTCAGAGCAGGCAGTGACCCCTGTGTCTTGTTGCCCAGAGGACACGAACTCACAGGACCATCGTCCCCCAAGCGGCGCTCAGAAACCAGCCCCCTCGGTGAGTGGCGTGGCCAGGGTCTGCAGCCGGGCACGCCAGGCCCCCGGGGTGCGGGGCATGTGGATGTGGGCTCCAGACTTCAGCGAGCTCTCTGTATGGGACGAGGGGCCGCCGCCCTGGGGTCGCAGCCCTGCGCGGGTGGGCGGGCACACAGCCGCGTCTGGGCCGACAGGAGAGGACAGCAAGGCTCAGCGGGTGAAGACGCTTCTCCACGGCCACACCCTGGTCTGGACTCAGGGGCTCTGAATTCAGAAGAGCCCTGGGCCGCGAGTTGGGTGGCCTGCACAGTGCCTGGCACTGACCGTGTGGCCCTGGGAGGCCACCTAACCTCTCTGAGCATCGTCTGCTGATGCCTTGGAGTCTTGGGGGCTGGACCTGGGGGTGGGGGGAGCCTTTGCACAGGCCCCACTCGGGTCACTCCCGTTTCTCAGCTTCATGCTGGGCTTCTGGGCCAAGGTCGCTGTCCCCCATGACCCCCCAGACTGACCCAGTCCTGATGTTCTAGGATCTCGGATCACGGGCTGGGAGGGCAGAGGAAGGATGGTCGGGGGGTGGGAGGGGAGTCCAGCGTCCCCATCTCTGGTGCTCGGACTGGTCTCAGCGGCTCTGGTCATTGTCCGTGTCCGAGATGACCCCTCCTTGCAGCCAGAGCCCTCCATGCCCAACACCGCCTTGCTCATCAAGAACCCCCTAGCTGCCACCCACGAGTTCAAGCAGGCCTGCCAGCTCTGCTACCCCAAAACAGGTAAGATGGCACCTTCGCCCCTACCCCTGTGTCCCAGAGATGTCGGGAGCATGGACTCTGAGAACGAAAGAACGTAGCCCGCCAGCCAGAAGTGCGAGAAGCAGAAGCCTTGCTAGGCGTTCAAGCAGAAACGGATGTGACGGGGAGCCTGGCTTCCAGAACCGCTGGGCCCGGGCCCCTCCCTTGGGCCTCTCTGAGAAGCCCCCACCTGCCCCTTGCCAGATTCGAGGACCAGGGACGAGGAAAGCAGCAGGGAGTGAGGGCGGTGCCATTCCGGGGCAGGGAGCAGGGAGCGAAAGGAGGCCCGCGGGCCTGCTCCGTGCCGGCCTCGTCTTCATGAGTCATGGCCGGCAAGCCCCGGCCCGGCTCAGGGCCAGCGGCGCCAGCAGCAGGTGGGGTGGGCGCGGCGAGGCAGCTCCTGGGGAGCAGATGGCGGGAGGTTCCCGCGAGAAGTTTGCGGGCAGGGCCCGTGCCCCCGCGCCAGTCCGCTGCCCAGACGCCCTGCCGCGCCTCGCCCACAGGCCCCAGGGCTGGCGACTACACCCACCGGGAGGGCCTGGAGCACAAGTGCAAGCGGGACACCCTGCTGGGCCGGCTCCGGGGCGCCGAGGACCAGGCCTGGAAGCGCATCCGGCCCCGGCCCACCAAGACCAGCTTCGTGGGCTCCTACTACCTGTGCAAAGGTGGGTGGGCTGCACCCCGACAGCCAGGGCCCGGTCGCCTCACTTGGCGTGCGAGTGGGCAGGGCGGGCCTGGTCCTCCCGGTAGGGGAGGGCAGGGGGCTGGGGATCTCCCTCCGCCAGCAGCAGGCCCAACGAGCCCGAGCAGAGGGTCACTGGTTACCGCGTTTCCCAGACAAACGCGCTGCGCTGAAGTCCGAACGCTAACCCTGCAAGGTCTCGAGAAGCGCTGATGAAATGACCGTGCTCTCATCCAACGTGGCGCTCTTCTGAGGGTCGCTTCCCCCGGGATCTTAAGGATCCTGTCGCTATTGAGCTCGAAGGCCTCTTGTGGCCAGTGGCTGATGCCCCTATGCTCCGGGGTCTCCAGGTCCCCTGCCTGCCCTGACTGTCGCCTGCGTTCAGTGAGCCTGACTCCCGGCTCCCTTGCACAGGCCTGTCCCTGGAACTGGGTTGTTTCTGCGCCTCCCCCAGCAGACCTGGCTCTGGGAACGCTGGCCCGGGCTCCTGGGCGTGCTGGTTGCAGACATAGCCCGTGGCTATCGCTCGGTCCAGCTGGCTCCTCCTTGTGGCCTGCAGCCTGGCAAGGGGTGGGGCTGGCATGCAGGAAGAGCAGGAGGAAGGATGAGAAAGTGTCCGCCGTGAGACTGGCAGGTTAACAGGGCCTTGGACCCGGCTCTCCCTCTCCCTGGCCGGCTCATTATCCACTAAGGCCCCAGCACAGCCTGGTGTCCCCCTTTAAGACTGCTGAGGCGCAGGACGAAGGGCGTCCCAGGCCGACTCCAGGCCTAGCCCTTAGCCTGTGGTGTTTTCCTGGTGAATAAAATAAATCCCGGTGTTTGTATAGAGGCTGTGCACTTCTCTTGCCTGAACCACAGGAGGCAGCCCCATGGGATGGGGGAGCCAGATGACAGCCACGCTCTGCCCAGGAAGCTGCCAACGCCCCAAACACACCCCCAGATGCAGAGCAAAGAAGGGCCTGGCCTGGCGGGGGCCTTCCGGGCTCTGTGGCTGCTTCCGCCAAGTCCTCGGCTGGCCTCCACCCACCCCAGGGGAGGGAGAAGGGCAGAGGCCCTGCCCACCCGCCAGGGGGCGCCGCCGCTCTGTGGTCTGTGCCCTGGGGACGCCCCGGGCTCCACGGGCTGCCGTCCCGCCTGGCAGAACGTGTGTCCTGTTGCCTCTTTGCAGACATGATTAACAAGCAGGACTGTAAGTACGGGGATAACTGCACCTTCGCCTACCATCAGGAGGAGATCGACGTGTGGACCGAGGAGCGCAAGGGCACCCTCAACCGCGACCTGCTCTTCGACCCGCTGGGGGGCGTCAAGCGGGGCAGCCTCACCATCGCCAAGCTCCTCAAGGAGCACCAGGGCGTCTTCACCTTCCTCTGCGAGGTACCTCCCGCCGCCTCAGTGGTGGCCCTCGGGTGGGGCCCCCGGGCGCTCTCCCACCACGCCTGGAGCCTGTGGCCAGGGAGCCCTGCCCTCGGCATCAGGAGGCTCTCGGGGTTCAGGAGCTAGGCCCCTAGGGTCCTGTCATGCTGGAACCCTGAGCCTTTTGAGCCCCTCATTTCAGAGAGGTGGAAGCTGAGGCCAGAGAGAGCTAATCAAACCTGCTCTTTGCTGTGGCCGCCACAGCTCCGTGCCAGGCGCTCTGGAACCCCCCTCCGGCCTTCCCCGCCTCCCTCTCCCATTCAGCTGTGCGGGTTCAGTGTCCAGTGCGCACCCCAGCCTTGACCCGTGTCCACGCTGTGCCTTCTCCCTGGCATGCCCAGCAAGGTCGGTGCATCTCTGACCCTTTGAGGCACAGCCAGGCCTTGCGGTCCCACCAGTGGCTCCTCCCGCCCTGCCACGGGGACCCTCTGGCCCCGCCTCCCCGCCAGTGATGGCATGTTGAGGGTGTCTCCATGGCGTGAGAGCTCCATGGTGCTGGCAGGCTGCTGCTTCTCGCTCAACCCCTCTCCGTCACCTGGCTGGCCCGAGCAGTGGGCGCCTCGCCGGGCGAGCCTGAGAGACCACGCAGTGTGATTAAGCCAGGTTCATAGCTGAGGACTGACCTGCTCCAGACAGAGCTGGAGGAGGAGAGGAAGAGTGAGGCCAGTTACCTATGAACTTGAGCTAGAGCCAGATTGCTGAGGGCCACAGACCCTGGGACCCCTTCCTCACTCCCCCAACTCAGGGCAGGCTTGCAGGGACCCAGGCGCCCCCCCCGGTGTCCGTGCCGGTCCCAGCCCACCCCTCCCTGGCAGATCTGCTTTGACAGTAAGCCCCGGATCATCAGCAAAGGCACCAAGGACTCGCCGTCTGTCTGCTCCAACCTGGCTGCCAAGCACAGCTTCTACAACAACAAGTGAGCAGGGCCCGCACCCGGGGCAGCGCAGAGGGCTGGGGGCAGCGCAGACCCCAGGGGTCCTAGGGTGTCCAGGCAGGGGGCAGGCTCAGATCCAGCTCCGCCTGGAAAGGGCAGAGCGCGTCTGGTGAGCGTCTCCCACATCCCACGCATCCCCTTGGCTCCGTAATGACTGGCCAGTCCCGCGGGAGGCCACAGAGGTGCAGGCTGGGACTGGGAAGCTGCTCACGCAGCCGGCCGGTGGGCACCAGATTTCTGACCCCTGTCCCGTGCCCTTCACGGTCAGATGTCCTGGACAGCGAGAGGGAAGGTCTCAGAGTTGCCCACCTCCGCTCTCTGACCTGCCCATGGCTCTGCCTGACGTGGCTGAGCGGGCCTGCTGCGGTCCCAGGCCTGGTCCTGTGTCCTTTCCTCTGGTCTCTCTGACCCTATTTCTTCCACCACGGGCCGCTCCTGGGCGCCAGCCAGGGCCAACAGCATGGATTGCTGTGGGAGTAATTCAGGCTCCTGGCCTGGGGGTGGGGTGGGGGACACAGGGGCCCAAACCAGAGCCCCCACTTCGAGCCTTCCACACTGCCCTTGTTCTAGTTACCAGTGGGGAGGTGCCAGGAGCCCCGCCCCTTCGGCTGGGCCGCCCCGGGAGAGCTGCCCGACCAGGGGGGTGCAGCCTGCGTTGTGCCGCCCGCAGGTGCCTGGTGCACATCGTCCGGTCCACCTCCCTCAAGTACTCCAAGATCCGCCAGTTCCAGGAGCACTTCCAGTTCGACGTGTGCCGCCACGAGGTCCGCTACGGCTGCCTGCGCGAGGACAGCTGCCACTTCGCTCACAGCTTCATCGAGCTCAAAGTCTGGCTGCTGCAGCAGTACTCGGGTGCGTTGAGGAGGGGCCGCCGCCGGGGCGGGGCTAGGGCGGACCGTGTCGGTGAGGGGCGGGCCTCGGGGCGGGGCCGAGGGGCGGGGCCGAGGGGCGGGGCCGAGGGGCAGGTGCGAAGACCGGCCCTCTCAAGGTCTCACGGTGGGCATGGACGCAGGGCGGCTGCTGTCCAGTCAGGGTTCAACCTGCCAGGCGCCAAAAGGCGAGTGAGCATGAAGACCCCTAGGATGGACCTCACTGGTCATGTGCTCGCACTGAGCCTCTGTTTGCTCTTCTGTGAACCGGGAGGAGATTAAAAGCTTTCGCTGTCACTGGTTCTGACAAGGACCCCTTGAACACCTGCTATGGCAGGAATTGAGCCAGAGCTGGCCTTGCTCGCGGAATGTCAGCTGTCGGCATGGCACGCAGGTGATAAACCAGCAGGTGCTACGGCCTGGCCAGGATGCACCTGCGGTGTTTCTGGTGTGGGAGAGCTGAGGAAGGCCTCTCTGAGGAGGTGGCCTCGGCAGGGAAAGGCGAGAAGGGCGTTCCAGCCAGAGGGGACAGCTGGGCTTGAGGCCTGAGGCAGGAGACCGTCGTGGGGGCCAGGCAGCTTAGTGCCAGGGCACAGGGCCGAGATGAGGTCTGAGGGGTTGGCAGGGACCCAAGCATGAACGGAAATCACAGGGCTGGTTCTGAGTGCAGGGCCTCGGGGGTTTACGGGGGTAGAGTTATATGAGCTGACCGATTTTGCCTTGAAGTTGCTCTGGCTGCAAGAGGTGGAAGTCCTGGCCAGAGTCTGGGTATCTTGGAGATAAAGGTGACGAGAGTTGTTCATGGGCCATGTATAAGGGACAGACAAGACTGTGAAGGTCAACGCTAGGCTTCGACCAGCCTAACCACGAAGAAGAGAGGTGCCTTGTTCTGAGATTGGGCTCTCCTGAGAAAAGGCTTGGGGGTCGCATCGGGCTCTGTGGGACGTGGGCATTGTCTTACTCTTCAAGTGGAGGTGTGGAGTGGGCACATGGAGTTCACGGGAGAGGTGGGGGCTAGAGAGCTGTATTGAAGACCCATGGGCCGTAGTGGGTGTCCCTGGCCAGAGGAAGCTGCTGGTGCGTGGCCGCCCGATCCAAGTCCAGGTTGAAAGCAAACCAGCTGTGGGAGGGCAGGCTTCCTCCAGAGCTTGGGGAGCTTAGTATCCAGTCAGGTGGGGGGCACCAAATGGGGGAGTTGCCCTTTGCTGACTGAGCAAAGAGCTGTGGCCCCCCAGTGGGCAGTAGTGCCTGAAGCGCCAGTGCGAGGAAGCTGCTTGTCAGGCTCGAGGCCCCGCAAGGGGGGCGGTGGCCACAGAGGCGCGCTGAGCAGGGCCACTGGCAGGGGCAGGAGTCCCGCCATCTGCAGGCCAGCGTCTTCCTCCTGCATTGTTCCACATCTGGCTGCATCTTGTTCTTGGAGGCCCTGTGAGGCTTGGAGCAGGCCTCTGTCCCAGCTGCAGGTGAACAAACCGCCCTGAGAGGGTGACAGTTTCCTGAATCCTACGCCTGCCCGTGGAGGGAGGCAGGGCCTCCCTGGGTGTGCAGCCCCTGGGCCTGGGCCGGGATGGCGCCTGCCTCTCTCCTGGCACCTGTCCACGCCAGGGCCTCCCTGGGTGTGTGGCCCCTGGGCCTGGGCCGGAGTGGCCCCTGCCTCTCTCCTGGCTGGGCTCCTTCAGAATGCCATGTCTGCTCCTGCCCTCCCCAGGCATGACCCACGAAGACATCGTCCAGGAATCCAAGAAATACTGGCAGCAGATGGAGGCCCACGCGGGAAAGGCCAGCAGCAGCTTGGTATGGCCCCTGCTGGGCACTGAGGGTGGACCAGTCCCCCCCTTAGACATAATGCGGGCTGACTGGGACATTGGCCTCCCATTGGCACAAAGAATCCATACACAGCATTAGCCAATCCCACTCTCGGGTCACGTGTGCGAGTGTGTGTGCACAGACACGTGCAGAAGTGTGCACATTCTCCTGACTGAAGAAGAAAGGCTGGGACAGAGGATAGGCAGGGACCGGAGGGCCTTGGACCCTGGGCTGCTGCCCCCGCCCCCGCCCCCACTCCCACCTTCAGGCTCTGCTCTCCGCTGAGCCCTGTACCTGGGTGAGCTGGCCAACGCGAGGCAGCGCCGGTAGCGTGAGAACGCGGCCCCGGGCGGCTGCCACTTAGGAGCGCGGGGCGGCTTCCTGCAGGAGGCGGCGCTTGAGCCGGCCAGTGAAAGTTTCCACTGAGAGAACAAGCCTGATGGAGAATGGAGGAGGCGTGTTCCAGGCAGAGGGAACAGGGGCGTGGGGGTCGTGTGCTGTGCCCAAGGGGATGCCCTGATGCGGCGGCGGGGGAGTCCCAGGTGGCTCCCACCTGCAGTTGGGGTCCTCCTGCTGAGGTGGTGAGGGACGGCCCTGGTGTCCTGGAAGCCTGCCCTGTGACAGCCCAGGGTGAGCTGTGCCTGCCGCCTCACAGGGCGCCCCCCGGACGCACGGGCCCAACACCTTTGACCTGCAGATGAAGTTCGTGTGTGGCCAGTGCTGGAGGAATGGGCAGGTGGTGGAGCCTGACAAGGATCTCAAGTACTGCAGTGCCAAGGCCCGGCACTGGTGAGTGGGCGCCAGCAAGGCACGTGGGCAGCGCGGGGCCATCCCGGCCTTGGGCCAGGGGTCACGCACCGTAGCTCTCTGGGTGCACCCCAGCAGCCCTTTGCTCCGACCCACAGCTGGACCAAGGAGCGGCGGGTCCTCCTGGTGATGTCCAAGGCCAAGAGGAAGTGGGTGTCGGTGAGGCCGCTGCCGTCCATTCGAAACTTTCCTCAGCAGTACGATGTGAGCGCCGCGGCGAGGGCGGGGCGGCGGGGCGCGGTGGAGGCCGGCCGTGGGCCGCGGAGGGTCTGTGCCGCCCCGGCATGACCGTCCAGTGGCTCAGCGGGCTCTCCCGCCTGCCCGCAGCTCTGCATCCACGCACAGAACGGCCGCAAGTGTCAGTACGTGGGGAACTGCTCCTTCGCGCACAGCCCCGAGGAGCGCGACATGTGGACCTTCATGAAGGAGAACAAGAGTGAGTGGCCAGACGGGGCAGGGCCTCGCCGGCGGGTCCCTCGTCGCCGGACACCCCGGTTTCTCAGCGGGCCCAAGCACACCTGTGGGCCCCCCCCCGCCTCCGGGGGCCTGGGGCGCCCCGGCTCTCAGGTCCCGCCGGGCTCGTGGTCCAGCCCCCTCACCGGCACCCGTCCCCCTCCCCCCAGTCCTGGACATGCAGCAGACCTACGACATGTGGCTGAAGAAGCACAACCCAGGGAAGCCCGGGGAAGGGACGCCCATCGGCTCGCGGGAGGGTGAGAAGCAGATCCAGATGCCCACGGACTACGCCGACGTCATGGTGACTGCGCCCTGCCCTGCCAGCCGGGGCCTGGCCGAGCCGGGGGCGGGGGGCGGCGGGGCCGGCCCGGGAGAGCGGGCACCCATGGTGCTGTGCCTGCAGATGGGCTACCACTGCTGGCTGTGCGGCAAGAACAGCAACAGCAAGAAGCAGTGGCAGCAGCACATCCAGTCGGAGAAGCACAAGGAGAAGGTCTTCACGTCGGACAGCGACGCCAGCGGCTGGGCCTACCGCTTCCCCATGGGAGAGTTCCGGCTGTGCGACAGGTCCGCGGGCGCCGGGGCGGCCCCGCTCGCCCCC